ATCTAATCCCGAGAGCTAGAACTATGAAAGAAACGATTTCTTCTGAGTTTATTATTAATGAAAATATTTTATATTTTTGTAATATTCGAACAATTGTTTTTTTAATATTTTAATTTTATTTTGATTTTATTATATATATATATATATATTTATTAATATATAATATATATAAATATAAATATAAAAATAAAATAAATATTTTATTTTTAAATATTTATTTAATTTTTTTATTTATTTTTTTGTGTTTTCCAACGGTTATTCCAACGAATCGCCGTTGGAATAAATTTTCAATCCCAACGGACTACCGTTGTAAATATCGTTGTAACATTTCGACGGCGTTTCCAACGGATATTCCAACGGATTTCCGTGGCAAATACCGTTGTAAATCCGTTGGAATATTTCTAACGGATATTCTAACGGTCCCGTCGGAAAGTAGCCACGGATATCCGTTGGAATTTCCGTTGATATATTCCGACGAACAAATCCGTTGGAATTCCGTTGAAAATATACCACGGAAGAATCGTTGGAAATCCGTTGAAATATTCCAACGGATGACGGCGTTGGAATTCCGTTTGGAATTTGCCACGGAATTCCAACAGAACCGCGTTTCTAACGACTGTTTTCCAACGGCTATATCCGTTGGAAAAGTCGAATTCCAACGGATTTTCGGCCATTTCCAACGGATTTGCCGGTTGGAATTTGAAATTTTTTTTGTAGTGATTTTATTTGTGAACTTCATCAAATTTCCGCGAAATTTGATGTTATAATTTTATTCGGGCTTAATCGCAATAATATGTTGTGAGCGCAAACATTTGCAAAATAACGTCTGCGGCTCAGTGGTTGCATGCGTCCCTCAGGATGCTCTTGATCCGAGTTTGAACTTGGGAACTTGCAGCTTTCAGCATTATTGCTGATTTTCTCTTCGGCCTAATTCATATTGGGCCTTTGCCTGGGCCTGTTTGACTTTGCCTCATTGGGCTTGTCGAATTTCAGCCCAAATTTTTGCGTTTTTTCATGACCTGTGACGCTTCGTTACCTGTGCTGGACCTCACGCTTTTCAAAGAATTTTAATGGGCTTCAGCCCTGCTCAGAGACAGAAAATGTTGAGATTTAAAAACCAGAATCCGGTCGAAAATAGGAAAGTTTTGCCGTTTCATATTCCCTTCTGATTTTATTTCCAATTTTTTATGTTTGAATCTGCACATAAATACACACATTTACACGTTGATCTCGAGATCATAACGTATGCTTGCAGATTCAGAAATAAAATTGAGGTTTTAAACTTCTGAAATTTCTCCTCTTTTAATATCCTTTGTTTTATTATTTGGCGAGATCATCATCGGTTTGCGTGACCTAAGCCCCCTGTTCTGTAATAGTTGGCGTTAGCTACTTTTCTGGCGAGTTCAATGTGCCAAATCTTCTGAAAGGACCTTGCAGAGACTGATTCTCTAATGATTTGTCTCTGTTTCATTCAACCTCGGATATTTTTTTTGGTTTTGTTTTCGGGACTTTGAAAGAACATAGTCACGTGTCTGCATGGCCCAACAATCGACATTCTAAAATGTCAGGCATTGTTGTCATGCAACTCGACTTGTGTTTACTTTCCCGCGTTTTCACGAATTTACAGTCTACGACACTTCTAGTTTTCGATTTCGGTTTAGTCCAAAATCTGATATTCTCGGTTCAGACGTGTCCCATTTTGGTTTTCTGTTTTATTTCTAGTTTTGCCACCTTAACCAAATCGAGGGATCATTTGGACTTGATCACTAACGGCGATAAAGTATTATCATATACACAATTTAGCCCCGTTCATACCTCGATCCCGACCCTCAGATTATGATTGATTTCGGTTTTCTAAAAAAAACTGAAATTACGATTGTCAGAATCTCATTTTTGGTGGTGGCTACATTAAAACGTTGGTTTGGGCCTCTTTTTCGGTTCTCTTAAATTCTGATGAGATTTTCACATAATCTTTATCATAATTTTTTTTCTACCCTTTGGTACGAGTGAACCACATTTCTAAATTTTTATTTGTTTTAATTTTCTGTATATATTTTATGTATCTAAGTTTTATAATTTTATCAAAACTTAGTAAATTTTTGTATATTTAGAAAATTAAACATAGAAACATGCATTTCACTCAACATGCATTATTCTGATTAATACACAAAAAATTATTTGATTTGTGTATTTGCATGTTTCATTTTCGATATTACTTCTGTATGTTTTATTGATTCAAAATTTTCATATAAACATATATGATTGTTCATATTACATGTTGATCATATATGCATATTCCATGAGTTTCAAGTTAAACCGAAAATACATATATTTGAATTATTCAACATGCAATATCAAAATCATTCATGTATATTTTCCTGTATTTTTATTAATCCGAAATTATACATGAATATTGTTTAATATGCAAGTATTCAAATTCATGCAAATTCTCTATGTGATATGTCATGAAGCGGTTCTGATACCACTTGATAGTATTTTACAGAAATACATTTATTATATATATTGCGGAATATTTTATACTGGACCAATCATCATGCATATCATATAAAGAATTATTCTGGAATTTAGAACATACTTGAATCCATGATGGTTTGACAAATGACAGAGTGTGTAGAAAGTTTTCTAGAATATCACGTAAGAAAGTTTATTCTATGACAAATGGGTGCATACAGATTTTCTGTCCGTTTAGCCTACCACTATTTATAGTAATAGGTTTGTGTAATTTCCAAATCCGCCCATAAAGAATTAGAAAATTACACTTTATGGTATCTGTATAACTATTTAACCTCTATACTTTTCTGTATTTGCATATTTGATCACATGTAATTAGTTATCCGTATAAAATTATTCAAACGAGATAAATTGTTTTTTTATAACCAGAAGCTTCATAGAGCATTCGGCCCACTTAATGCCCACTAGTGGAATTGAAATGAGATAAGTTCCTATGATCACAATGAAATACACGTCGTGTATTGCCTTTGATGGTTGTTCCTATAATCATTATGGCAATGCCTTTGATATATTGTAATGAATGATTGAATTATAGAAATGGAGTTTCACTCCTTAGGAACATGGGCATGGCAAGGAGTTATTTAACATATTTTCACACAAAAAAAAAAATCGAAACTTATGCTTGGAACGGTGATAGTTTTTATTTTGAATTTCTAAATTTAGTTTTTGGTTTTTAATTTTTAATTTTTGTAGTTTTTAAAAAACTTGATTGGAAGAGTAATATTTTAGTTTAGTTTCTAGATTTTAGATTTTAAATGTAAAATTATTAAAAAGAGTTTTTATATATATGTATAAAATAAAATTTTCTATGGTGTTTTTGTCTTTTGAATATTTTATATAATTAATATTTAATATAAAATGAAAAAAATCTATTAACAAATGAGATTTTTTAGTCAAAATCTACACAAAAGTGGTTTTTGGTTTTTCTTAATTTTTTTTAAAAGATGATTTATCAGTTTTTTTAGAAAAAAAGTAAAAAAACAAAATCTTGGTTGGATATTTTTTGGATTTTTAAAAACTAAAAATTAGAAAAACTCCAAACAGTCAAAAACTTGATAACATATACCACTTTTTTTTTATGGTTAATATACAACGAATTATGAGAATTACAATCATCTGTATCAATAATTTTAACTGTATAAATACTGTTATGATTTACACGGTTGTAATTTATATTGTAAGTCATGGCTTTACGGTTAATAGGTAAATATTTAAACGTCAAAGGGTATATTTGCAAAACTAGGGAATAATCACGAGATTATAAACCTCCTCAATTCCGGCTTCGGCACATGATCCCCCGTTCCCAATGGCCAATCTCTCTCCCCTCTTCTGGAACCCAAGGTAAGCTTCTACTCCTCGCCGTCGCTTCTTCGACTCCGCCGACCCGTCTCCTCTCTGTTGCTTCCTGGAGAGAGTGACGGCCTCTCCTCTTACCACGGGGAAGAGTTTGGCTGCGACATTGGATTTCTGAATTCTTTACGTTTCTGGAATGGGATTCGTAAGAAACAGCCAGGTTTATCTTCCCGGGAATTATGCCTATGGTTTACTATATGCGCCATCAGGATCGTGTTTCGATCGGGAAAGGTGCCTGCCTGCATTTCGTCCGATAAATGAACTTGTTCGTCGTTTTTGTGTCAAATTTTTGTAGCTGTTCCGAGCTGCGGGATTTTGATTAGCGGATTCGACTTCAGGAGATTGAATAAGTGATTCATTGGGTTGGAGATGGATTTGAACTCGAAGAAGTTCGCTGAAGGCTTCACGAAAATCGAAGCTGAAGCTGACGAATTCTTTATTGCTCGAAGTTTTCCCTTCTCTAAATGATTACTCTCCGATCTGTTAATTCTGTTTCAGTTTCCTTTTTGATTTTTTGTTTTTATGATTTGGATATAAAGAAGGGAAATTTTCCTATATAATCATTTGGATTTCACTGTTTCAATTCCCATTAAGGTTAGGGTTCTCTTCTCGGATGCATAATGCCTATTTAAGGTGTTCTAGTGTTCAGTTCATAACATTCTTCAGGTGATCAAGGCACACAAACAGAGAAGCAACACAACTCCCGTTCCTCCGTAGAGTGTTTTCTGCAGATATCCAGATATGGGTCGGAATAGTCTTCGGAAAGTCGTCGGCTTTGCAAAAGATCTGGCATCTGTAGGCAAAGTCGTTGTGCGTTCCAATGGCGATTAAACAGATTTCTTCCGCATCGAGGTAGCAGTGATCGGTGCCACTAACCACTATCAGACCCGCATCGACGACAGATCCATCAACCGTATACTCCTCTGCGTCTCTGTCCATCCAGAATCCGTCTCTCTTCTCGTTGACTCCATTTCTCGGCGTCTAAAGAGGACCAGAGACCGTGTCGTCGTCCTCAAGACTGTTTCTCGTTCATGGTATCTTGGGCAATACCAGACAGTTGCGTGTCACGAGTGCTATTGGCCATCTCCTAATGAACTGCAATACTATGTTGCCTATCTCCAAGAAAGAGCTGGATGGATCGTGGATCAGTCAGGTAGGCTTCAGCCCATCAAATCCCGTGGTGTGAAGTGCATTCAAGGCGAGGAAGAAGAAGAAGAATACACAGATACGATGTTCCATATCTTGAAGTGTCAGGACTTGATTCAAAAGACGTTGAACTGCTCACCAAGTAATGACGCCTTGCATATCAATCATAACCTAGTCCAAGCAGTTCTCTGCACCATCTTGGAAGATAGTTTCGAGGTTTACAAGTCATATTCAGACCAGACAAAGGAGTTGTCTCACTTGTTGTCAGATCTGCCAAGGCCTGCAATGCCTCTGGCCCGTTAGATGTTGGAGAAATCTTCACAACAGTGTCGAGATCTTCGCGGGTTCTACAAGAAGTGCAGAGGGAAGTTCCCACCAATGGAAGACATGAAGATGGAACCCGCAAAAGCAGAGGAGCAAATGACAAGCCTCATCTCAACTCAAGGGTTCGTGCCTTTTCCAAGATGGTTACCGGCCGAGACATCAGTCTCCATCTCCTCCTCGTACTGACAGACAGATCTGCCCGTGACGGTGTCCTCACGACTCCCTGGTTTCGCCCTTGGCGCGTTATCACACCAATCTTGAGCCTTGATTTTTAAACTTTTCTAGATTTCTTTTGAGATTATATTTTCTTCTCTGGTCTCTTGAGGGTTGGATTGTAAATGTAACACCTTTGTCAAAGGATTCTGTGAAGAAATTTCCCATCTTTTTTAGCACGATTCACTGCGAATCTAATAGAACCTTGTATAGATAATAGAGATTTGTATTTCAAAAGAAACCCAGAGAAATACAAATACTAGGTTTACAGAGAAGAACACCACTCTCTTCTCTACTCCACTCTCAAATAAAAACCAACATGATCCCCACCCAAAAGAGAAAACATAGATATATAGTAGCCATGCCTCAACAGACTTGCTGAGGTGGCAATTTGATTCCCTTCCCCTGTACATAACAACCCCTTGTACCCCACCTACGTGCTGGTAATCCCAAATCCTAGGTAATCATTGTTGTGCTGCCACCTGTCTCCTTCTCTCCTCCAGCAGCAATGGTTTTCCCAGCCTTCTCCCTCGAGGTGTCTTCCTCTCCTCGCTCCGCAACGCTTCCAGCCATGGCTTCCCTTCGCTTCCTCTTGTTCCTCCTCCGATACACACGCAGGGGTTTATCAATACCCCCCCTTGGAGACGCAGCTTGTCCCCAAGCTGAAACAGCGGAAATTGCGCAGCAACGGTGTCAGCCATTTCCCATGTAGCCTCGTGTGTTGGAAGACCCTTCCAAGAAATCAAAACTTCCAGATATCCCTGATCGTTATAACGGGAATCCAATAAGGAATCTGGTTCAAGAAGCAACTCCAATTCAGGCGACAACTCCTTCGACAACTCCATCGGCTGAAAGACATTTCCCACCGCCTTCTTGAGTTGCGAAACATGGAAAACTGGGTGAATCCGAGCTTCAGCGGGCAATCGGATCTTGTAGGCGGTAGCTCCAATACGTTCCAGAACTTCATACGGTCCATAAAAACGGGCTGCCAATTTCTGAAAGCGACGCTTGGCCACTGAATGTTGGCGATATGGCCGTAGCTTGAGAAAAACCCAATCGCCTACAGCTAACTCCACATCTCGGCGCGATACATCAGCATATTTTTTCATTCGTTGTTGTGCCCGAGCCAAGTTCTGACGTATCTCCATAATATTAATCATACTATCCCTTTCCAACAGTGACTCCTCCAGTTCAAAATTCACTGTTGACCCTTTCTCAAAACGTATCAAAGATGGCGGTTCTCTGCCATAAACCACCTGAAATGGGCTTGTCTTGAGAGCTGTATGGTAGGAAGTATTGAACCAGAACTCAGCCCATGGGAGAAATTTGGCCCAGGCCCGAGGATCCCCCCCCCCCCCACCACCACCCCCCCCCGCAAAACATCGCAAATACGTCTCGAGACATCGGTTAACCACCTCGGATTGGCCATCGGTTTGTGAGTGGAAGACTGTACTATACTTCAGCCGAGTTCCAGCCAATCGAAATAACTCAGTCCAAAAATGACTGAGGAATATGCGGTCTCTGTCCGAAACTATGAACCCATGCAGGCGTACGATTTCCCGAACAAATAATTCAGCCACTTGAACCGCTGTAAACGGATGACGCAATCCCATGAAGTGACTGAATTTACTCAATCTGTCCACAATGACCAAGATAGTATCAAAGCCCGACGACCTTGGCAATCCCTCAATAAAATCCATCGAGATGTCTTCCCATATGCGAACCGGAATAGGAAGAGGCTGCAGCAAACCCGCTGGAGATAAGGTGGAATATTTGTTTTGCTGACAGACCCCACATTGAGCGACATATAGCTGAATTTGGGCCTTCATGCCTCGCCAATAAAAGACAGATTGAACCCGCTTCAATGTCTTCAGCAACCCAGAATGCCCCCCATCGGACTGTCATGGAACTCCCGTAGAATAATAGGAATCAAGGCAGAATTAGACGGAATAACAAAGCGTTCGTTGAATAACAACGTACCCTGACAGAGATGATAACCACGAGGCGCCTCCTGTTGCTCTCGCAGTTTCTTCAAGATCCCCATCAACTCTTGATCAGATTCCACCTCTCGCTTTAACTGTTCGATTTCAATCACACCCGAAATGGTCAGGGCTGAAAGAACTGCAACTGATGACAGATTTGACGAGGCCGGTAGTCGAGATAATCCATCAGCCGCTTTGTTAAGGGTTCCGGGTTTGTACACAATATCGAAATCGTACCCCAACAACTTGGATAACCATTTCTGATACTCCAAGTTAATCTCCCGTTGATCTAGCAAATATTTCAGCGCCCGCTGATCCGTATGAACTACAAACTTGCGACCCAACAAGTAATGTCGCCAACGTTGAATAGCAAGCACCACCGCCATGAGTTCCCGTTCATAAACTGGTTTCATCTGATCACGGTTGGACAATCCATGACTGTAATACGCAATTGGACGGTTTTTCTGCATTAATATCGCTCCAATTCCAAACCCCGACGCATCAGCCTCCACTACAAATGTGTCCGAAAAATCGGGCATAATAAGCAACTGGTGTTGACATCATGGCAGCCTTCAAGGAGTCAAAAGCTGCTGATTGTACCTCTGTCCAATTGAAACTGTCTTTCTTCAACAACTGTGTGAGTGGACGAGCCAACATGCCGTAATTCCGAACAAACCGCCTATAGTATCCCGTAAGACCCAAGAAACTGCGAAGTTCTTTAACCGATGTCGGGTAAGGCCAACGTCGCATTGCCTCGGTCTTGGAGGGATCGGTGTGAACCCCCTGTTGTGAAATGACATGGCCCAAGTACTCAATCTTATCCCTGCCAAACAGACATTTCTTCATATTTGCGAACAATTGATGCTTTGCCAAGACTGTCAGCACTGCCTTTAAATGATCAACGTGCTCAGCAATGGATCTGCTGTAAATGAGTATATCATCGAAAAAAACCAGCACAAAGCGACGCAGAAATGGTCGGAATAGATCATTCATCATGGCTTGAAAAGTCGCCGGAGCAATGGTCAAGCCGAACGGCATTACGAGGAATTCGTAATGGTCGTCATGTGTCTGTAACGCCGTCTTGTGAACATCCTCCCTTCGCATCCTGATTTGATGATATCCTGAACAAAGGTCAAGCTTGGAAAAAATCGTCGCACCACATAATTCGTCCAACAGCTGATCAATCATCGGAATTGGGAATTTGTCCGGCACTGTAACCCGATTCAATGCCCTGTATTCAATACAGAATCTCCAGCTGCCATCTTTTTTCTTAACCAGCAAAACCGGGCTCGAGAACGGACTAGTACTCGGCTGTATAATGCCAGCCTGTAACATCTCCTTAACCATCCTCTCGATCTCTTCCTTGTGGGCATGCAGGTATCGGAATGGTCTGACACTCACCGGTCCGGTACGTGGCTGTAAAATTATGGCATGTTCGCGGCCTCGTGATGGCGGTAGTCCAGATGGTTCAGCAAAAACCCCCTGAAATTCCTCCAAAATCTTAGCCAAACTGCTCGGTGTTTCCCTCGATTATGCGGAAACCGAACACATCGCACTGAACTCCACCATATAACTCGCCTCATTTGCCGGAATAGTCTTAATCAAGGACTTAAAAGTAACGAGGGAATTATGCAGATGAGGGTCGCCAGTAAGAGTCACCTGAGTAGATCCCGCTGTAAAACGCATTATCAGTTTCTCGAAATTCATCTGGATATTCCCCAAAGTCCGCAACCATTGAACCCCCAAAATGACATCGCGCTGCCCAGTTCTAAAGGCAAAAAATCAGCGAGAACCTCCAAGTGATGCATCATTAATAATAAGGCCCGACAAATTCCCGTGGTTCGAACAGTTACCCCGGTGCCTAGAGCAACTCCGTACCCAGACGTCGACGAGGGCTGCAATCCCAGTTTGTCCAAAACCTCCAGCGAAATGAAATTGTGAGTCGCCCCACAATCGATCATCACCACCACTGCTTGACCGCGAATCGACCCTCGCACTTTCAGAGTCGACGGCGACGTTATGCCCACCGCCGAGTTGAGTGAAAGCTCAGCCAATTCTTTCGACTCATTTTGCGATTCTGCAATAGCTTCCGGAACATCGTCTTCCGGCAACAGAAACTCGTCGTCTTCCTTCACCACTATCACCTGGAGCTCCCGATCTTTGCATTTATGGCCGAAAAAATAAGCTCGTCACATCGGAAGCAAACTCCCCTCCTCCGTTTGTCGTCGAGCTCCGCATCTGAAATGCGGCGAACCCCTGCTGTTTTCATTCCAGAAACCAACTGAGATGGGCTAGAAGAAGATGGGCCAGGTGGAACAGGCCCATTAGAATCCACCCTTCTAGTATAGCCCATACGTTGTGGTCCACCAACACCTCCAGCTGGTAAGGTAATCGTGCGAAAGGGATTCGCCGACTGATTTTGTTGCTGTTTGAAACTGCGATGATCCCCAGATTTTCCGGCCAATGAACCCAGCGGCGAACTATCCAATTTCAGCGCGAGGGCCATGGTTCGCTCGAGACCTTGGGGATCCAAAACTTCGACCATGTTCTTGATGTCTGCCCGCAACCCATTTTTGAAGGCACACTCTAGAACATCAACATCAACACGCGTGAGCTGACCCAACAATTCTTCGAAGCTGCGTACATACTCTAGGACCGAACCCACTTGCTTCAGAGAAAACAATCGGGCTTTCGCCGACCATGCGATTTGCACATCAAAACGCTCCAATAGTCGTTGTTTAAAATCAGGCCAATCGATAAACGGCCGATTGTGCTGCCATTCATGCCAGTGAAGCACTTCTCCATCAATACTGAGTGTCGCGTAACGGAGTTTATCCGGATCGCCGATATTACCGAACCGGAAATAACGTTCCGCTCTGACGATCCAACCTGCAACGTTGTCACCTTCAAAAACCGGTATTTCAATTTTCCGTAAAGTGAAATCGTTACCCGGTGCTTGCAGAGACATCGGTGCTTCCTCAAGTCCCACCTCCAGCGCTTGAGTGACCGTGGGTAACGGATCCACCTGAGCCGATGACCCAGGGACGTCGATCGGTGTCTTGCCGCTAGAGTTCGGCGATGTCTGAGCACACGTTGACTGCTCCCCAGTGATAAGAACGGATGGATGTTTATCAGGTGGATTGCGTTGGTCGAGCAAGGATCGCATCATCTGCTCCAACACCTCCATCCGACCCATCTCTTTCTGGACAACAGAAACCTGACCTTGCATCACCCCCATGGCTGAAGCAAATCTGTCCTGCATAGCTCCCATGGCAGACTCGAATTTTCCCAGTTTCGAGTTCACCAAATCTTCCAATATCTCAATCCGATTGTCTTTTGGCGGTATGATAGGATCGATAGAATGCTCTGATACCACTTTTAATAGAACCTTGTATAGATAATAGAGATTTGTATTTCAAAAGAAACCCAGAGAAATACAAATACTAGGTTTACAGAGAAGAACACCACTCTCTTCTACTCCACTCTCAAATAAAAACCAACATGACCCCCACCCAAAAGAGAAAACATAGATATACAGTAGTCATGCCTCAACAGAATTGCTGAGGTGGCAATTTGATTCTCTTCCCCTGTACATAACAACCCCTTGCACCCCACCTACGTGCTGGTAATCCCAAATCCTAGGTAATCATTGTTGTGCTGCCACCTGTCTCGGAATGGTTTTCCCAGTCTTCTCCCTCGAGGTGTCTTCCTCTCCTCGCTCCGCAACGCTTCCAGCCATGGCTTCCCTTCGATTCCTCTTGTTCCTCCTCCGATACACACGCAGGGGTTTATCAGAATCATCATCTTATAATATATACTTGATAGTTGCACCCACATGCTTACAGATCAAATAATACGCCTCTCAATACTTCTACCTAATTAAGAAGAGACAACAATTTGGCCAATGAAAAATACCAAATAATATTCTCTATAGAAACCTAAAACAAAACACTAGGGTTCTTTTATGTACGGTCGACCAGGTATCTCTCAGCCACTGCCGCGTGAACAGCGGCTCCGACAGGCAACATGTCCTCGTCGATGGTGAAATGAGGGGAATGTCCGATATGGACAGACCCCAGCTCCTCGTTCCTGATGCCGATGAAGTAGAAGGCGGAGGGGATGATTTCGGAGTAGAAGGCGAAATCCTCTGCACCCATCATTTGAGGAGCCACTTTGAAGTAGCTTTCCCCGAGCAAATCCACCGTCGTTTTCCTCACGTGTTCGTACATTGCCTCGTCGTTTATCGTCGGAGGGTAAATCCCGCTCTGGTTCTCGAAGAAATTCACCGTTGCTTCGCAGCCGTATACTCCCACTTGTTCTACCGTCACCTGTTCGGTATACAAAAAAAGAATGCAACTTTTTACGTTTGAAATCCCATCACTTGTTTCCGGTCAGTTAACCAAAATTGTGTTGGTTTTGGAGCTAACCGGTGTGAAAACCATGTTCTAATCGGCTTAAACGAGGGGGAAGAATGCTTAGTTCTTGAACTCAGGCGACTGAAAAATGCCTAGTTTTTGGACGGAACCGAAATGAACCGGACTTGTTATTTGAATGTTTTCGAGCCTACGAGTTGCATGGTTTCAGATAGTGAATCTTGTTACCGATGTGGAAACTAAAAATGCGCGGTTTGACGCCGGTTAAGTCCGTGGAAACTCAACCCAACCGAACTAAACCGAAATTGCACCAACCTCTTGAATACGCGTCATGAGCTGGTAGAAGCTTGCGTTGGAGAAAGCTCTGAACGTGCCACTGAGAACCACCTTGTCCGGTGGCGAGTCGAGGCTGTGGCCGCCGTCGAATGACGTCACCGACACAACCTACACGGCAGCACAAATATTGAATTTTCTTAAAGAAAAAATAAATCAAATCAACTATATATATTGGTCCAAATTTAGTTTCACATTTCTTCAAATTTTTTTTCCCGAAACCTGAGCGTCAAGAGGACTGGCTTCGCGGGAAACAATGTTCTGCAAGCTGATGACGGCGGCGGATGCGGCGAGGATCAGATCGGCGGAGCCACCGCCACCGTTCTCCGCAGTGATGACTGCCCGGAAAAACCCACATCCGGCGAGCAAAGGGCCGCTCCGGGAACCGATCACACCGGTCGGATGGTTGTGGGACACGTGTAGGGCGAACATGGCCTCCACATCTTCGAGGGCTCCGTCTCCTATCATCTTCTTCGCGCCGTTCCCGGCTTCTTCCGCCGGCTGGAATATCAGCACCACTGTTCCCTGTTGTAATCAGCGACACATTTCGGAATTTTAATCATTATTATGAACCGCAATTATCACATTGGAGATAAAATGAGACAGCTGTAATGATTTCACTTTATTATTATTTTTTTCGGCAAGGAAAGGGACAATGTTAGTTACCCCCAACAAGTTCAATAAATGTCTGTAGTGTTAGGTCGAATTCACATTATCCATATATAATGCTTAAACCAAGAAAAACAAAAAAGAAGCACCATTATAATATGCAAAGTTATATCCACCCATAAGTCAAATCAAAGTTACCGATTTTCACCCAAATTTGATTAATTCAACCAATGAAACGGTATCCAAAACGTATGTCTCATCCTGAATTTGAACTCCAAATTTGAAGAAGGTTATACACCCGAGTTTTCCAACCCATGGAATTAGGCAGGGTTTTGATCCAAAATATCCCGTTACCAAAAAAAATATTTACCAACTTTCGTAATCTTTCTCGAGCCTAATACGATTCTAATACACAATATTAACGAGTATAAAAGATTAATTAACCTTGAGAAGATGCTCTCGAGCTTTAAGTATATTGGCGGCACCAAGAAGCATAGCCACATGGGCGTCATGCCCACAAGCATGCATTTTGCCTTGTATTCTGCTTTTGTGTTCCCATTCAACCGCTTCCTGCGCCCACACACAACACAGTTCGAGATTGATGGACCACCATACATACATCCAACCATACCCTTATAGATCTTTTTTTTTTGGGTAATGTGAGATCCAAAAAACAATTCATTGTGAAAGGTTAAATAAACGTGAGTGTGGATGAACCGAATCTTATATAAATACATGGTGTATAGCGAATTTCGGGTATAATTTTTTTTAATCCAGAAGTTCACTTGATATTCCGTTCAACTATATCTCTCAAAGGTTTGGAAATGGGATCTCTAGAGCGAATCCTATTCCTAAGAGATCGATTCTAGGGTTTGCGCAGCGGATGTAAAACAAAAATTATTAAAACCCTAGAACCATGCTGCTATGAATCGTAGAAACGTTAGAACGCTTACCTCAATCGATCTGGGGCCTGTATCAACTGAAGAACTCGAGAAGTCATCCGGAAATCTTCTCTCATTTCTCTCTTGGCCTTTTCTCTCATTCCGCCGACGGTCATCTCCCTTGTAAGACCGCCGGCGTCCCCTTGGTTCGTTTTGCCACTTAATAAAACCGTCCTCGTGTTTTGGATTCATCTCGACTTGTCCCTTTGTTTCTCGTTTCGCCCCTCTTCGATTCTCGTACGTCGAACGACCCGTGCCCGAGGAATTCTGCCAAGTTCCCACACTTGTTCGAGAATTCCTGCACTCGTCCGTACCGAGCACTCAATACATCCGATAGACTTCTGTCCGTCAAGTCCCGGCCGTCTGTCTGAGAATTCTCGCCCAGCCGAGAACATTCTCCGAGACTTACGCGTCCCACTCGCATTCCCGCCCGAGAAACTCTCGCACGGGTCTGCTCATTCCGTCCAAGGAACTCAGCCCATTACAAGCCAAGGCCCGGCACTTCCCGCAACGGCCCAGACTAGCCCGGATCCTAGTCTCGGTCCTCCCAGCGAATCTCGGACTTTTCCCAACAAGTCCGAGTTTTCCCGCTAAGTCCCGGACTTTCCCCAACGGTCCGAGACTTCTGCCTCGCACAGTCCGCTATCTTCCGCACTTCTTCGCGGCTGTACGAGTGTCACGTACCATCGGTCGAACCCAGCGACTAGGTGCGTGACATTTTTGGTATCAGAGCCTGGTTCCTAAGCATCGCTATCACTCGTGGATGGCCGCTACGGCAACTAGACGTCAATAATGCGTTTCTTCAAGGCCATCTCACCGAGGATGTCTATATGATGCAACCACCGGGCTTCGTAGATCAAGACCGTCCCACTCACGTGTGCAAACTGCATAAGGCTCTATACGGGCTCAAGCAAGCGCCACGTGCTTGGTACCATGAGCTCCGTAGCTACCTCTTATCCGCGAAGAACACTCTCAGTCTTCATGCCTACTCGGACGCGGATTGGGGAGGCAATCGCGACGACTTCACTTCCACCGGAGCACACATTGTCTACCTCGGCTCCCATCCCATCTCTTGGTCGTCAAAGAAGCAACGAAGTGCTGCTCGATCCTCGACGGAATCCGAATACAAGTCCGTAGCTTCCACGGCGTCCGAAGTTCGTTGGTTATCCTCTCTCCTCTCAGAACTTGGGGTTGACGTTCCAAAACCCCCGGTTATATACTGTGATAATGTCGGTGCCACGTACTTATGTGCTAATCCGATCTTTCACTCACGCATGAAGCACGTGGCGATTGACTACCATTTCATTCGGGGACTTGTCCAAGATGGACATCTTCGGGTCACTCATGTCTCCTCACATGATCAACTTGCTGATGCCCTCACCAAAGCACTTCCTCGGGCCCGGTTCGATCTTCTTCGTGTCAAGATTGGTCTCGCACACGAGCCACATCTTGCGGGGGCGTAATGGAAAGATATACTATTGTAAATATTCTATCGTATCACTTCCAGATTTTATGTTCATTAGTTACCTTGATTGTAGCTAAATCATAGCAACCCTACGTCTATATATTTTGTAATCTCTACACTTGGAATAATAAGAAATATTATTTCCCACTATCGTTTAGACAATTCTCTTCTACTAAGAGGTCGTGTGTTCGAAACCCTGGTATGAAAACTTTTCTTGAGTCGGTCAGCGTTACGAGGTTGGTTTACCTGTTCTGCGTAGTTTGTCGGCTACTGCGCAGGGCGGTGGATTTTTTCAGGTGCGCGATGATGTCTGATGCCGTTCTCGTCCGGCCCATAGGCTGAGAGGCGTTGCGGTGTTCAGTGTCCGATCCGAAAGGTTGTAGGATAGGGGTTTTCCATCGTAAAAAGAAAATAGAAACGCTGATGATAGAGTTAACGTTTTATGTTTATATTGTGTATACGATTTGTCCACGTGGCAACTTTTGGCCGTGGGACTAGACCGATATTACCATCTAACATCAAAACATATTTTCCGTTCGGAAACCAACGGGCGACGCTGATTATAGAGTTAAGGTTTTATGTTTATAGTGTGTGATGTGATTCAACTATCAAGGATTGAATAATAGTCCAATATTTTCTTAGATGAGTTTTGGACCGTTATTCTCTAACCCAAAACATTGAACCGGGTTGACAATTCTAATAAACGTACTTTGAATCCGAATTCATGTCACGGGGAAAATTCATTTATTACCCCTAAAATCACGTTTAAGTCACGAAGTTTCCACCAAGACTCTCACCACATGCCCGTCAACAGTGTATATATATATACATATATATATATATATAATATTGTTATGATTACCAATTATAATCAAAATGGAAATTAGCAAAACTTGTATTTCTAATTAAGAAACCGAAAGATACCCAAAAAAACCGTGATCGAGCAATTGTAGTTCTGTTTCTAGAATGTGGTTGGGATAATATTAATTTGTCCTAGAAATCTCATATTCGGAGATGAAACATACAACTTAATTGTAGTAAGGATTTATTTCGTTTAAGGGTGAATGTAGTTAGATCGAAAGTATTGTTAATCAATCTAAATACCCAAAAACCGAAGCATAAATATTTCCTTATCTCTAATAGTTTCAGTGTTACTAATTGTAAAAATTTGCGGAATGATGTATTTATTCATAATCAGAATAACATATAAATAGATGAGAGTCTTACATGGAATAAGTAAACTAAATAAAATAATAAATATTTCTAAATATATATTTTCCGGATTTGATAAGATTGATATATCTCGTAATATTCTTCAAGATCCGGTATATCTCAACATCCCCCTTCAAGTTGGAGCGTGGAAGATAACGAAACGTCCAACTTGCTGAAAAGATGATCAAACGCATGCCGCTTGAACTACATCACCTTGCGAACTTGAGTCAATCATAACTAAAAAAATCAAACAAACGAATGCGCTGCAACTTTGGCACCACGCACAAAAGAATCGTTTGATGATAACAAAAAAAAGGACGACAATCGCGGTGCAGAAAGAAGTCTCGGGAATAACTCTGATTCATCCGAGATTGAAAGGCAACTACGCGAAAGCGTTTAATGACAACAATTTTTTTGGCAAGAATAAGATGATTGACGGTTATGCGAATAATCTTTAGAAACATGTGGGATTATGAGAGAGAAAAAAAAACAAAAATAAAATGACTCTCTTATTCTTAAAAAAATTCGAAATGATATTACCACTGGATCGGTATATCAGCATCTTCATCTTCACTCTCATTATCGATCATCATTTTTATGAAAAGAACAACAAATTAGAAAAGAACCAGAGGCTCTGATACCATGTAAAAATTTGCGGAATGATATCTTTATTCATAATCAGAATAACATATAAATAGATGAGAGTCTTACATGGAATAAGTAAACTAAATAAAATAATAAATATTTCTAAATATATATTTTTCGGATTTGATAAGATTGATATATCTCGTAATATTCTTCAAGATCCGGTATATCTCAACAATTTACACATCTTTTGCGTTTGTTTTAGAGTTTGTTAGGAGGATTTTATTGTATAAATATTTGTACTGTATTCAATGGAATAACAGAGAAAACTCTTCATTCCTTGTGTTAACTTCTTTTTCACTGCTAGGTTGAATCAAACTGTTATGGTATTAGAGCTCTAAAACTTCTCCGCCATCATCCTTTGTCCTTGATCCCTATGCTAACTCATTGTATCTTCATGCTGTAGATTCCTCAAGATTACCTTGATTGTTGAGAAGCTGTTTGGCGCGGTAAACTATAATTTATGGTCTCGCTCTATTATCAAAGTTCTTATTGCTAAGAATAAATTGGAGTTTATCTTTGGGACTATTCCCAAACCAGTCTCCGATCATTATGATTTTGGGGCTTGGATGAGATGTAATGCTATTGTAGGGACATGACTTACAAACTCCCTTTCATCTGATATGCTAGTCTCGTCATGAATATTGATGATGTTGCTGAAATTTGGACTAGTCTTGAGACAAACTATAAGCAAAAGAACGATTCCAAAGTTTTTCTATTTGAACAGCAACTGGAATCTTTGCAGCAGGGTTCTATGGCCCTTAGTGTTTTCTACACAAAACTAAAGGCCTTATTGGAAGAACTTAAGATGTATGAATGATAACACATATTTCGAGTGATGTTTTGATATAGGATGTCTAGCGTATTTCACTCGGTTTTACATATTTGTAGACATTCTAGGGTACATTTGGTTTCGATATTGGTTGGTTGTGTTCTTTGGTGTTTAAATAGGTATTCACACATAAAGACAGCAAAAGGAGTGGAAAACATAGATTACGGAACATCACGGACGAACCAGGAACATTTGGAGTTGTTCCGGAGAAAACATAAAGCTTAGAAAAGTCAGATTTTGCAAGTCCAATAACTTTCACTCTACAAGTTCAAAAAATACATTCTCTATAACATTGGAAAGATCTCTTCGATATCTACGCATAGACGTTAAGATCACCAAAATCTGATGTCTGAGCAGGAAGTTATGAGCAAATTCGTGAAACCCATCAAAACTGCGATGTGACACGATCGTGTCACTTGTGCAGACACGATCGAGTCACTTAAAATCCGGAAATCTTCTAAATTTTCCCAAAAGAAAGAGAAAATAACTAGGGTTAGCCTCCAAGGCCGAAAATATTCATACTTACACAGAAAACACACCCTAGAGATCACAAAAGGGGGAGATTATCAAGAGGTAAGAGATCGGAGTAGAAGACGGAGGTTACAAAGCCGGGAAATCGACTAAGCATTCTTCCTTTCTTCTATTTTACGATGTTTTATATTATTCATATGAACCCTGATTTCGCGATGTTTAGCGAGTAGTTTCTCTGTTGTAA